GCCTAATATTGATGCACAGTGGAGAAAGTGAATGTTCTCCAAACCTCAGTGTTGTCCTCATAGGGAACCTTTGTTTTCAGTTTGCGTCTCCTTTCGGACCTTTCTGTATGTATTTGTATGCACATGTCTGTCAGCTCTAGAACATTTGATGTACGTCTGTGTCTATGTTTTGACCCATAAACTGAAGCACTGATTAACTGCTTGATTGATTGTAGCTTGCTTTTCACATGCAGCCAGTGCCCAGGACTTTGTGAGCTGACACACCCAGACCTCGGGGGACATTCTGTGTGACCTTGTCTTGTCCTTGGTGTTACTTCACCTCCTCCATCCAGGCACCCATACCTTGCTTGTTATTATCCTCCCTCCTGATCCCTGTCGTCAACCCTTGCAGAGCCTGCTGTCGATCCTCCATTCTCTGAGAGGCCTCAGTCATCACTGACTCCTGCTGATTCTCCTTCCCCAAAGCAAGAACCAAAGCCTTAGGTTGAGGAGTGCCAGGCTGGGGAGGCAGCATTAACAAGAAGGAAGTGCACGTGCTTCAGGGAGGAATTAGGCCTTTGGGCCACCTTTGAAATCCTGTTGCAGCTTTGAGCTGGCTCTGATGCTAGAAACTAGCCCAAACTCCAGCTGCAGAGTTCTGGGCCCCAGGGTTTCCTAGGCAGGTGCCTGACGAACCATCGCCATCAGCAAGGAGGCTCCATACCTCCATGCCCTCCTGCAGCCTCACTTGGGGCCCTGGGAGATGAGCCCTTGGTGAAACTCAAACCTCTGCTGTTTGAGAGAGGGTGACTTTGTTTACAGACTCCAGTCCTCAGGGGCATTCATTGTCCACTTTTTTTTCAAGAAGATAAACCTAAGTCTTCTGAGTTTGGACCGTAGAGTAGGCTTGTGGGCTTCTCTACTTCTGGCTAGTTGCGTTGAGCTTGCTCTTCCCTTGATTCAACTCCTGGGAGTGTTTGGTTCTCTTTTGTCTCCTCTCCGTTTTCTTTCCCTTTATCCATTGTTCTCTCTTTCCCTTTGGATACAGAATGGCCCGGGCACTTACCTCTGCAGCAGCCTGGTGGGCCATGCTCTCCCTGGGCCTGTGGCTGAGTGCTGGGGACACAGTGGGGAGGAGATAGGTGAGGACCCTGCATCTCTGGAACATCCTCGATGGTCAGCATAATGGAAGATTGCTGGCAGGAGGAGCAGGAGTCGTGGCGAGTCTCTGCCCTCATTTCCCAGCTGAGTTCTACCAGCTTCTCTATGATGACCAATATTTTGATGATGTCAGTATTAAGGGAAAATTCATTTTTGAAATATAAAAGAATAAAAAGGAAACAACACTGTCCAAAAGCCCAATGTCCAACTTACCTTTGAGTTTTTTTTAAAGTTAATACGTTTACATGATTAGCAATCAAGTGAAAATAAATCAAGCATGCTGTCCATGTACACCATGCCACATGCCTTCTTTGTTTCCTCTCTTCTACCCTGGTACTCAGTGATCAAGAAAATCAGATCCCAACTTCTTAAATTTATTCATTTGTTTGTTTTTCATTCTTTTGTTCATTTGGGTTTAGTTGGGGTTTTTTGATTGTTTGTTTGCGATAGGGTGTTACTGTGTAGTTCAGGCTGGCGCTAAATTTACTGTGTAGTCCGGTTGGCCTCAAACTTGTGGCGTTCCTCCTGCTTCAGCCTCCTCGATGTTGGAATTACAGATGTGCACCACCACACCTGGCCTGTTTGTTTGTTTGCATCTTGCTGTGCAAACCAGGCTGGCCTTGAACTCACTATACAACTCAGGCTAGCCTCAAACAGTGATCCTCCTGAATGGTAGGATTACAGGCATGCACCGCCTGACTTAAATTCATTCTTATAGTGGATTTTTTTTCCTTTGTGTTTTTCTTTTTGGTTGCAGGCATGATGGGAAAATAAGTGTCATATGTTGGATACTCTTTCATCATGCCCTGAAGGATATCTCTCTCTTGATCTCTCCCTCACCTCTCCTTTCCCTTCTTTGCCCTTTTCCCCTCCCCTCCCCTCCCTAATCCTCCCCTCTCCTAGTCTCTCTTACCTTCTCCTCTCCTCTTTCCTTTTCTTGTGCTGGGGATCAAACCCAGGCTCTTGTTCATCCTAGGAAAGTGCTATACCACTGAATTACACTCCAGCCCTGAAGGAATATTATGCCTCCCTCCCTCCCTTTTTTCCTTCCTTCCCTTCTTTGTTCCTTTCTCTCTCTCCCTCCCTGTCTCCTTCATTCTTCCATGGGGTGGGGATGACTTTATTACCTAGGCTGATTGAGAACTCCTGAGCTCAAGTGATCCTCCACCAGCCTCAGCCTTGCTATGCAGAGACTATAGATAGATATGTGCCACCATGCCCAGATTCCATGATTCCATTTGGTCTGGTAGAGGACCATCTTTGAGACAAGCAGTCTGATGAGACAGCTGCTCTTTGCTGACCCAAGCTCTGAGGCTTTTGTTTTGCTTGTTTCCACTCTGCCTGGTGCTCTGATCATCTGAGTCTGTGAAGAATTTAGGGAAGGATTTCTGCAGCTGCACGTACCTGTGTGGATTTCACCTCTCTCTCTCTCTCTCTCTCTGTCTCTCTCTCTCTGTCTTTCTTTCTCTCTCTGTTGTTTCTTGGTTTTTGTGAGACAAGGTCTTGCTATATAGCTCAGGATGGCCTTGAACTGACTGTGTAGCCCAGGCTGGTCCTGAACTCATGGTGATCCTCCTGCCTCAGCCTCCCAAGTGCTGGGATTACACATGTGCACCACCACTCCCAGCATATGTGGATTTCTGCTCACAGCTTCTAGCAAGGCAATGTTTTGCTGCATTTGGTCTTGGTTTTCTGTGTCTGAGAGCTTTGATCACTGTATGGCATGCTCTAATTCACTGGGATGGGCAGTGATGGGAGAAAGTGAGTCACTTGGTCTCGGGGCCCTGACTTGCTGGCTGTGTACAGCTGTACAGTGCCTTGAGTGGGTTCTGATGGATGCTGTCTGTCAAGTAGCATATGCTGGAATACTCTCATCCCCAAGCTCTGGGCTGTTGGCATTTCTAATACACTATCTGGGTTTCCTGCACAGTGGCATCATGTCTCAATTTATCTGTCATTGTTGTGGTTGAATAATCTAAACCGGGTAAATAAAAATGAATGTTTGGATTTGGATGCTAATTTAAGTCTCAATTGCATTTTCTTCTGAGCATAATTGAAATTAATGGGTTCCTTGAGCACATACCACTTATTGGCAAGGTACAGTGACCCCTAGAATACAGATGGTGGCTTTTTAGGGTAGATTCATGAGATAGACAATCCATATCAAGATAATGGAAAAGTTTATTCTAAAACTTTCTTTAATGACAAAATGATGTCTGAACATTATGTAGAGTCTGGGAAGAGACAAATATTTTAATCAAAAATCTGCCCCAAACAAATCAATTTCCTTTTGTCTTTGTTCCTTTCTAGACATGATTTGTTTGCAATGCGTGTGTGTGTATATATATATACATGTATATAAATTTTGTTTTAGATAGGTCTCACTATATTGCCCAGGCTGGCCTCAAATTTGTGAACTCAAAATGATTTTGTGCCTTGGCATGGGATTATAGGCACATGTCAGCACACCTGGGAGCATGTGTATACTTTTTAAAAACTGCTAAACATGGAACTTAGTCTAAGTTCCATGCTTGGTGAAACAGTTATTTTAGGAAGGGCTTGCTTTTTGGAGTTCACATCCTTGCTCTGCAGCTCAGTAGCTGAGTGACATTCAGCAAGTCCCTTAATTCTTCTGGTCCTTAATTTCCTTGAACCTGAAATGGATTGATAATTTCCATTTATCCCGATTGTTGGAAAGATTGAGATCCAGAAATGTGGGATATGAGCCACATGTGACAGGGGCCATTTTCATTTCTCACTGAGGCCTCTGCCCTTTCCAGGGAGAAACTTTCTTACGTGGAACAAGCTGATCTCTGTCCCATCCCTGATGCTTACCAGACTCAGGGGAGGAGACTCAGTGTATTTGTCACTTTCCCATCACTTGAATAAAATTGCTAACACTTGTAACTTAAAAGCAGGAAGTTTTATTTTGGCTCAGGTTCCACTGGGTTTAGTACCTGGTGATCTGGTTCCAAGGCAGAAGCAGCATTGTGGAAGGCCCTGGTGAAGGACAGCTGCTCACTACGTGGTAGCTGGGAAACAGAGGGAAGAGAGGAGCCAGGGACAAGAATACAGCCTTTAGGTCATGCACATTCAGCATGAACCCATCAGTGTCTTAATCCATCAATGAGAACAGTGCATCCCCATGACCCGCCCTCCTTTCAAAAGCCCCACTTCTGAACATGTGAGAATTTCGGGGACATTTTAGATCTAAGCCATAACATCCAGCATTTGCCTGTGTCCAGAACATCTTGCCTTTTCTGTTATTTATTTTTATAATAGCAAGGCACTCTGGTGTTCCTTTTCCTGGAGTGATATGTGGTTTCTTTTAAAATGAATTTAAGAGTTAGTAATAATATCAATGTATTTTAGTTGAGATACAGATTATACAGATGATGTGTGGGTTGGAGTCTAGGCTCTGTCATCTCCTGGCTGTGGAATATCAGACAGCTCATTCAGTGCCTCTGAATTTTGACTTCCTTGTTCTAAGAAGAGTATTATCTTGTGGGGTTGCTGTGGAGTTTAAATGAGATAATATGGTTAAAGCCCATAGAAAAGCAGGTACCACATACAAAGTATATAGAAACGTCATCTAGAAGCAGTTTTCCTATGTAACCAACTAATGTTTGGGGAACAAAGAGCTGGTCCAATGAAATACAGTATTTCTCACTTAGCAATAAGTGGTGACTGGTATTACTGTTTTGGTTATTTTATGATAATATTAGTAATGGTCTTAACTCTGAACCAGCGTTTGTTGCTTTGAAGATGAATTTCCTTGGTAGAAACTGTTGGGCAGCTTGCTAGCATGTAGTGAGATTCTAGCATTGCAATTCATCTGTTGCTTTTCTTGGAATCCTTAGGCCAAACCTAGCATTCGGTGCTTCATTAAACCCACCGAGACGCTTGAGCGGTCTCTTGAGATGAACAAGCACAAGGGCAAGAGGAGAGTGCAAAAGAGACCCAACTACAAAAACGTTGGGGAGGAAGAAGATGAGGAGAAAGGGCCTGCCGAGGATGCCCAGGAAGACGCCGAGAAGGCTAAAGGTACAGAGGGTGGTTCAAAAGGCGTGAAGACGAGTGGGGAGAGTGAAGGTGAGTGTCCCCTGGAACCACACCCTAACCAGCCAGCAAGGCTGCTGTCCTGTCCTCTGTCCTACTTCTGTTCATTCCTAATGCCCATCAGTGTACCTCATTCTGGACAGTCCAACTGTTCAGAGGTCTCAGCGGATTCAGAATTGGTCCCACCCTTGATGGATGCGTGACCTGGAGCAAGGCTTCAGGGTAGTACCTACTTGGTACTGTTGTTAAGGGAACCAAGTGAAATAATGAATCTAGCCTGCTCAGAACAGTACCAGGCCCGTGGTAAATGGCATAAAATATTTGTTGCCTCTAATACTATTACTACCATCATCTTCATCATTATCGCTGTCATTCTAATTCCCAATAACTTGGGATTATGATTTGAGTCCATTGCACTGTGGAAAGAAAGAGGAGCCCATGGTTAAAGAAATTATGTGCTTTTAATAGATTATAGGTATTAGAAGTCACATAATCAAATGTAATACCTCATACTCTTCCATGGGGTGCTTTCAGGAGTCCCTTTGTTTGGAGTGAGGTACACTTGTGTGTGGAACATAATACGCTTGGTAAGCAGAGCCCTTCCTTCCTCCTTTACCTGGGTCAGGAATGATGTATCTGGCTTTCTTCACCCTCCTCTCTTATAGATGCAAAACCTCCCTGAATGGGGGAGCATTTTGCTCCGGGGTTAGCCTCATTTGAATCAGCCAGTTGTTCATGTCATGGACCAGGCTCACAGCCACTGCAGATGGGACCTCTGGCTACAGCCCCAGACACTGGGTTGATGAGGGGGAGTGATAATCTGGACCCAGCTTAGTGGAAGTGGGGCTCTGTTTCCTGGAGGGAAGATCTAGTCACATCTCCTGAGATGGATGTAGCGTCTACTCACTAGCCCAGCTGTGGTGGTTGGGGGGGGGGGCACTACCCCATCCAGCCCTTGGGCCCTTACCCAGCAGTGGCCACTCTGGAGCCAGCGCTCCCCAGTCCCATCACCTGGGACTATATGATTTCCTAGTCCAAGGTATCTGGGGCTGTAGTACAGAGCCACTCCCTGGAGCAGTGATATGGAGCTTGCTTTTGTACATCCCATTTTTTTTTGCAGTTGTCCATGAATGCCACAACTGCGTGTCAGTAAATGTAACCAGAATATTGCCATGGTGTCATTCGAGCCTGTGTCTAAGGCTGAGATCTCTAGTCTGCTTTTATTTCTGTTCAAAATGCACAATAAGCATTTTGGTTTAGGAATTCTTTTTGGCCTGGGAAGCCTTCACCCACAAGTATCACTTTGGTGGGGAGGTTAAGGGATAAACACAAGGTAAGTAAGTCATGTGTATTTGGTTATTTAAGTTATTTTTGTTTTCTGTGTTACCTTGGAAGAAAGTCATCTGTTGAAACCTTAGGTTTAGCCATTATATAGCCACGCTGAGGAAAAGTGGACAGCTTCATCTCGTTTTGTACACTGTGTTCTTATCAGTTTCGTCTTGGAAAGATACTGCTGCTTTTGTTCCAGTCCTTTTAAGGACTCTAGTCAAACCTCAACTGTGACTAACAGTGGTATGAACAAGACAGGCTCAGTCCCCAAAGTATAATCAGTTAGCCTGGCGGTCCAGTCCTAGACCCTGGGGACCACAAGCCAGCTCATCAAGGCCGCCATTGCCACTCAGACCAGTGGGGTTGGATGATGCCGAGCCCCCCTGCCTTGTGCAGGGGGAAGGCAAGGACCTTTCACTAGCCTGGTTTTTCAGGCCAGATTATGCCAAACAGGGCCCGGAAATTTCTCCAGAGGCTTTGTTTGAGCAGCTGGTGCTGACTTCAGAGCTTGGGCAAGTGTAGCTGTCAGTGACCTTCAGACATTTTGGTGCCTCCCTAATTTCTTGAGCACATTCATCATTTCAAAATTTGATGGGCTTTTTGTCTTCCCACTCAGCTCATGATAAATAAACTCAGCTTCCGCAGACCTGCTATGCTGGGCAATAGCACTGGTATTCTGGAACTTTCTGAATTGTATATGTGATCTCAGTTATTCTCACGTTTGAGGTTGCAGATGGTAGGTATAATGTGCTTCATTTGAGTCTGGTGTTGAACAAAGCCCTACAGCTGTTAATTGCTGTAGCTCAAAACGGTGTCAGGCACATTACCTCACTCACATAGCAAACCAAAGGGCAACAGTGCAGAGGGTTGCTGTGGCCCAGTTGGCCAGGCCTGGGTCATGTGTCTACCCTACAGTAGCTCCTTTAGTGAACTGTGAGGGGCAAATATCAGAGGCAAGGGGCATAGATGCTGGGCCAGCAGAAGCAGCAGGGTCTCCCACCACCAAAAAGCTCCCCTGTATTCTGGATGCTCCCCACTTGTCTTGACTCTCTTCTCTCTTCCTGAGTCAAGGTGGACACATGGCCTATTTTCACTTCCACATTGGTTTTAACCCTAGCAAGATTTTTGCATCATCTCTGGATCTAGGAGGTAGTTGAGTTACGGCAGACAGGCACAGGTGACTCAGTAACGAAGTGCTGGTGCTAATCCCTCATCTCTGCCACCCCTGTTCTAGTAGTAAATACAGGAGTAAAAAGGGCATGTGGTCACAAGGCACAACTTGCCATGACCATATTTGCATGTGGCATTAATTCTCAAACATCATACCCAAAACTCACACCTCCTCCACATTTAAGGCCAGACAAGGAAGTTGTGTGAAATGAGTGTGCACCCCCCATCCATCCACTTCTGTCCCCAGTTGGCAGAGAATTTGCTTTACCTCAGGCCCCAAGTAATGGGTGACTCATTTTCAAACCAGAAATCACAGGGCTCTAAATTAGCAGAAATTGAATATTAAAAGAAAGAGGAATGTCTTAGTCTCTCTAGCCAAAGAAGTGTTCTCTCTGTCCACGAAGCCAAACATCCCAGGGTGTATGCTCATTTCTTAGCTCACTCTTTAGTCTGAAAGGACATCTGTCTCTTTTTGGATTTACTTAGAGCAGTAACTTAATAAGCAGACTTGAGACAAGAGATTGAATCACTCAAGTTCCTCGTTTGCACAATGGGGCTTGACTTTTATTTCTTGCCTATAGAAAAAGTAGGCATTCACTGCACAGCCTGACCTTCAGAGCCTGCTCTTTCTTGGAGTTACAGCAAGGAGGTGAGATGCAGGTAACAGGATTGACTTAACCTCCCAGGTCAGCCAGGATTGAGGGATCCTGTGGAATTTGGACCCCCAGTTTTGCCTTTTCTTTTGTTTTTATTTTTGTTTTCAAGTCTCTAGTAGAGTGACATAGACCCTGGCCTGCAAAGCCTAGCAGTGTTCTGAATGAGTGGGCCAAGGACTGAATGTTAGAAAGTTGGGTCTGAATCCCTGCCCTGTCCCTGAGGAGCTGTGTGACTCTAGGCAAAGGATCACCTCTCTGCACTTCTCCACTTGTAGAGGGACTTCCTCATGTCCAGCGCTCAGGTTGTCATAGTGAGAACATCTGTGCTGCAGCATTTAGCTCATGGAACGTAACACATGACACTTGAGCTCTGGCCAAAGTGAAGGGCAGGGTGAGGAACCGAAAGGGGACTTGAGCCTGGGTGGGTGGACTCTGTGCTTGGGCCCCAGTGAGTTCTGCAAGGTCCACTTCATTGTTTGTTTCTTTAACTAAAAGTGGGGTAAATGTAGTAGAAAGAGAACGAGGAGAAGGCTTGGCAGGCCTTCCCCACCGTGTGGACACATAGGCTGCTACCTTTTTAAGTAGGTTTAACCAGAATACGGAGGAGGGCAGAAGGTGAGTGAGAACAAATGCGCTGAGCAACTTCCCAGAAAGCCATGCACAATTCAATCTCCTGCTGTTTAGTAGAAGATATTAAGAGAGTGAGGGAAGGGCAGCTCCCAATTTCTCATTGTCAGGGCTATTTCTTCCTTGAAACTGTGTTCTGAAGGGAGCCAGTTATGTGCGGTTCTGCTCTTATTTCCTAGGTAAGGGGCAGCACTTTCTTCCTTTCCCTTAACCTGCTTTTGAAGGCCTTATTCTTCCCTTCCCTTCTTTCATTGTCTGTCTTGCTGTGATTTCTGGAATATAGAACACAGAGGACAACTGAAAAAATCCTTGAATTTGTGAAGTCAAAGATTATTGGGAGGTCATACCTGTCATTTCCCTGAAAAGCACTTCATTTACCAGATATTAATCAAATTAGAATGTATATCGTCCCAGCAAGTTGATGAATTGCGGCTGTTATTTGAAAAATCAGTGTCAGAGGACTGGAGAAGCTCAAGGATGTGGCCAGAGTAATCATACCGAGAGACAGAAGTTAATTTCTGAGGGCCCTGAAGGTCTTCAGGCCTCTCTGGGCTTGCAGTGCCTCCCCTCAACCTAGCCACTACTTGGATAATGAGAGATGGGACTTCACTAGTCTTTGTTTCTTAATCATGATCAAATATGTGCACGTAACATAAAACCTACCATATTAACCATTTTAAGTATACAGTTCGATGGTGTTAAGTGTATTCCCATTGGCATGCATCCCTTATCACCACCCTCTAACAGAGCTGTTTGCAAAACTGAGACTTTATGTCTATGAAACACCAATTCCTCTTGCCTCCACCCCATTGCAGCCACCATTCTGCTTTCTGTTTGTATGAATTTGACTACTCTAGGGTCTTATCTAGGTGAAACTAAACAATCTATCTTGTACTGTCTTGTTTTTGTTTATTTTTAAAGTGGAAATTTTTTATTGATTTTAGTAAACGATTATATGCTTGTTCTTACAAACCACTCAAAAAATTCAAAAATATACAAAATAGAAAATCAAAGATTCTATAATCTCATTCCCATACCACCATCTGCTGAAGATGTAGGAAGATTTATTCATAAATATAAAGGAATATAATGATACATGAAATAAGAATCATTACTTGATCATAAAATAAACAGAGAACTTGAATTTAACATTGCCCCATTGAGAAGTTGGGAAAAGGTAGAAAAGAGCATAAGAGATTGAAAACTCCTTCTTTATCCCATAATAAATTGACAGAAACATAAATGTTTTAT